ATTTATTACATTAATTTAAAATCTTTTTGCGGCCAACGAATAATTGCGGAATTGATAACTTGAGTTTGAAAAAAAGATTTTAAATTAATGTAATAAATATACAGCATGTCTTCATTCCGCTTTCTATTTTGACACATGAAATCTGCAGCTTTATATATATATATATATATATATATATATATATATATATATGTTACTAGATAATTGTGTAATAATATTATTATATGACAAAGATATAAGTAATAAATTCCACGCCTCAGAAATTATTTTTCAAATAATTCCTGTTTTAATTAATAAGGATTTTTAATCGATTCGAGTTTTATATAACTAAAACGCATATCCAGTATAATAATCGAAAGATAGGTACTTAACATGTAATTAGCAGCAAATCCGTGCGTGAAGTAGGGAACGTGAAAAATATCATCCGACAGACAATGGCACTCATTATTTCACCCGCGTATCGGAACAGCTGTTGCGAGTCTTCGCAATAAGATGGCAAATGACGGTGGTAGATTGCGATTTTCAGAGCGATAACCCAATAATCCTGCGAAAAGATCATCCGCGTAAAACGAAAGATTGGATGCAGATCTGCATCCGTTCCTACGAAATTTATAAGCGTGTGATATTTAGTTCGCAGATGGATGTAATCATCGCGCGCACATGTTTGCTACAATCTTGAAGTCTCTCTCATACGATAGAAAATAGAAAGACAATTAAAATCCTTCAGAAATTTTTGTCTAAACAAACATAAAGTATAAGATTAAAAATTTTAATTTTTAGGCACAAATTCATTAAATAGAACTTTAATTTACAAATTAAAGTACAGAAAAACAGAGCAAAATATAATATGTTAAATGTATATGTATTTAAAACAGCCCTTTTAACACATTATATATATAAAATATTTGTGAATCATACTAAATGCTCTTTCAAAGAAAGGAATATGTATATATTCCAAAAACGCATGACGTTTAGATGGGTTTATATATCTGAATATTATGATCGTGCTAAAAAAATGTAAGCAGGGATTGGTTTTCGCGGTAGTAACCGTAAATGCGAGCTCGAGCTGTCGGCTTTATGTCGACTTTATTCGGTCACTCTGTCACACCGTTGTTTCCGGCTGTTTCCCTCGTTCGCTACACTCGCCAGCTACATACATAACGCTTCGTTATATATTTTAGCAACTTTTAACGAGGGCAACTTGTTAGATCGCCATTGATCATCGATAAATGTGCGAAGCGAGAACACTCGAATTGGCACGCACAATCTGGGATGCTCGCGCCTGCGTCCGACATGTATATTTTTAATCCTGAACGATATTCAATAACAATGGAATTTCGGAACTTCAAAATAATGGTCCCAATTAAATTTTTGGAAATGTTTACTTGCAAATGCGTTATAATGTGCGCACACTCGTATGCGTCTGTGTTTCTCTTAACAACTGTATAAATTATTTTAATTTTATGAAAAAACATTTCACATATTAAATTTTAAATTATATTTCTCTAATGAAAACTTTACTTAATACAAATGACAAAATTAAAACGTAATTTACTCAACTTATAATCATCCGTTTATTAAAAATTCTATGAAATTTTCGTTAATGAGAAATTCCTTTTAATTTTAGAAACGCTGTAGATGAAATGTTTCCCAAGAAGGAAATGAATTCTCAAAATTTTCATATATTTCAATTCTATGAATAACATTCCATGTGACACGGAAAAGTCGGCAACAAAACCTCAGAAGTGGTCGATCAAGAACCCGCTCAGCAAGCTCGCTCGACGATAAGCTTCGGTTTTTCCGGCGAGAAAATCTCGCGATCTCAGGCGTCGACCGATTTCCACCTTCTGACCGTGAGGCACGTAATATTACGTCACGTACTTGTGGCATCCCGCAGCTCGAGAGAGATTCCATCGTCCTTTCTCGATGTCGACGATGCACGCGTATATTTTGCAATTCACTTCAAACGCACACACCTCCTTCGATCAACAATGTTCGTCATTTATTTCTCGCTCACGTATAGCGAAGAAAACCCGGTTAAGAAAATCAGGTACGAGATAACTTTACAGAGTTGATTTACTTAATTATAGTTTTAAAACGAATAAAACAGTGTCTTATGACTTAAGGCGAAGTATGTCAATGGATACATTAATCTTCTGATGATGAAGATAAAATCTCCACGATTATGTAAATTGAGAATTTGAGATAAAGAGTATGCATGTACCTATAATGAGTGTATATATGTAACAATATGTACATATATGTAAGCAAATTTTTAAATTATCTCTACGTCGATGAAAATATATTTTCATTAATTTGAAAATAATTTAAAAACTTTTTTAATACCTGATTTATGTGTTCAGTAATAGATGTATTTTATAATATTATATAATATGTGACTATTTTCTCTTTTTAATCTTTCAAAAATATAGCGTGCACGAAGCGCAGATATGTATTTGCGAAAAAATACTCTAAATAATCATTCTATCATAATTCACATTGAAACTATTAAATATCATAATGCTATCTAACTTTCACTAGAGCGGAGAACAGGCTCGATAGGTCGGCTATTCCGTATTTCTGAGTACGCTTTTACGATTACCGCACTGTTATGATAGTTATAGACTCTATATTAGTTAAGTTATCAAACTATCGTGCATAGTTTTCGACGTAAAGATTCTAAGTGATCGAAATCATTTCGTTTACAAACGATGCATTCCATAGCGAACGCACCAATTATTTTAAAGGTAACATTATCCCGCATCTACATTTCTAAGTACGCTTACATAAACGATACATATTAACATCGCATCAGTAAAGTAACAAGTGCATGATTTTATAAGCGGAATTGATTCGCTTCTTCGTATTTCTTTACGACACGATGACAATAATATTATTAATTATTCCGTCAACTTATTACGCTCGACCTTGATGTATGATATCATCAATAACAAGCATTGTCTACCTAAATTACTTCATATCGATCATCGTGCAGTTCGATGAGCTAATCGAGCGCGAAGAGGTCAGGCTCGTCCGTGCGGACATCGGCGTCAGTGAAAGGCCAGAAAGGCCTTCGCCTTCTACAGAGTATCTCGGTTGCTTTTTGTACGGCAAGAGTAAAGCGCGAGAGATAGTCTCGCACGCGAGACGTTACCTCGTCGGCACGCGAAGAACACCATGGAACAACGATCCATTATCACTCGCATGTTTTGTTTTCCAAAGCGCGATTAAGCTGACGATTTCATGGACGAAGTGAAAAGTAAAATAGGAAAGCAGAAATGCAAAGTATCTCCCTTCTTATAACTGCAATATTTCTTTTTATATTGAATAATATCAACATCCAGCTTTAGAATATTTTAGAGAAAAATAAAGAATATCTTAATTATCAATATAAATCTCTCGTTATTATAATTTGATTTATGACTTAATTAACAATTATTATCTTAATGTGACTGCAGCTGTGAATATTATCATTTTATGAATGTACTCTTAGATCGTTAATAAATGTTATCATTCTATCTCTGAATATGTGCAATATTACGTCCATCCATTACTTTGATTTAGCTTAATAAAGCGCATTGATAATCTTCCATAACGTTATTGTCTATTCTTTCTTCTCTAACATTGAACTCGTTGTTTGATTTGACACACGACGTCATCGAGAACGTCGATCCTTGACGAAATTGCGATGCGATCAGCGGGTTGTTACACCAAGGAAAATAATCGGGAATAATGATTCATTTACGCAGTCTCTAATAATAATAGCGATGGTGTGTTTCGACGAATGTAACTAAGAGATCGTTCGGAGATACAAATGGCTCCAAGATGTTTATCTCCTCGTATGGAACTTGCACAATTTCGTGCAACGCGCCGTAGCAACTGCGTACGCATTGGCCAACTTCTTCGGACGAGACTTTCCTTTTCTGTAAAAATAATCTTTACTTTTTGTGATCAGCATTTAAAAACGTTCTAAGTAGATAAAAGATTTTTTTAATCCTCTTCTAAAAGCAGGAGAAGTACTTTTTACTTCGCATCTTTCTAAGAGTACAATTGAGATAAAAAAAAAAGATTATAAAACTTAAATTATCACATATATATTTTTTTCTTTTAGTAAATTCTTCAACTGTAATTTATTTACCCTCTAAAAATTTATAAAATTGAATGTTCGAGACGGGATATCGATTCAAAGAAGTTTCACACGCGTTCAAAATTCGACATAAGAGAAAAGTCAATTGCAGATTACGACAATTCGACTCGACGGTTTCAATTTCGAAACATCTGGTATAATTGGTATAATGATCTGGGATATGATTTGCTCACCTGGTAAGAGCAAAGAACCTCCAAATGGGTTAGGTATCAAAAAAGAATCATCGGTGCGCGCGTGTCCGGACTCACGAAGCGGCTGGAGAGCGTCTGCCTGGCGTTTCCGGTCCAGCGAGCACGATTCCGCCGTGCGATAATTACTACCGCGCCGAGCAAACGAGCGGAGACTCCGCAATCGGCGCGAAGTCGCGCCCCGGACTAAGCTCCCTTTCAAACGGGAGAATATTACGCGATTATCTTGGCCGATGAATCATCATCGCGTTTCTCGCTAACGAGGTCGCCGCGTTTCCACGTACCAACCCCCATCGTCCGAACGAGTGTCGCGAGTGTCGCGAACGGATTGTGGGAGGATTCCGCTATTTCCCCGGGGATTTCGCAGATGGAGAAGCCTCCATCTCGAGGAACGACCAAATGGGCGATCGGGTGTCAAGATTGCCTCGTCTCGTTGTCGCGCGACAAAGAGAGGGTGGAGGGGCAATGGTCTGGAAACGGCGATGAGGATTTTCGTTCACTTGACGGTGATGGGAATGGTGATGGTGACGGTGGTGGGCACGAAACTTGGGTTTCGTGAACGAGAAGAAAAATACAGAGTAGAAGGAAGGAGAGGCGGAAGGGCGGGGGTCCCGACCGAAGAAAGGCAGGAGCTATAAAAGAGCCAGCAGGCCCGATCGTGGGCATCAAACACCTCCGATATGAAGGTACGTAGAAGCGAGATCTCGACCGATCGCGAGCGCACGACGCGTAATTTTATATCGAATAATCTCTCGCGCAGAAAGCGATATATGTTGTGATTATTAAAGCCTTGTTCTCTCTCGTTGCAGGTGTTCATAGTCACGCTCGTGCTGGCACTCGCCGCCACCGTATACGGTGAGTATGATGAAGTCTTATGAGAATTACGCGGATTATAACGAGGGTGTCTCGCGTGTGTGAAGTGTTCGCGATATATTTAACCCTCCAGAATCGCAAAATAGTGACGATTAATTCTAAAAGCGTCAACTCGCCAATGTTGTACAAATACGTTAGATTCTATGCTATTTTATAACGTTTTTTTCTTTATTATTCTGACTAATATTATCTCTGACTAATATTACTCTGACTAAAAATTTTGTAAAAGTGATGGACAAGTTAAAAATATCTCATTAAAAATTGTAGAATGTCTATAAACGTTATTCATGCCAAATAAAAAATAAAAAAAATTTCTATCTATAAAAATCTATCTATAAAATAATATTGTACGTATTTTTAACAAGATGTATGCATGTGTGATAGCTATTAATTATTCTTTGGAAAGCTTATCACAGATTTCAGACAAATTGATTATTGTCGCGTTGCAACGCGAGGACTGTCATTTGACTAACAAGCGAGGTACAAACATATGGACACACACCCACGCACACAAATATCATAAATTATACTTCTCGGACGATTCTTTTTACACGATTACTAACCACTTGATTCAGCGATATTAAACGAGCTCATAAGATTTAATCCGGGAGCTGTTTGTACTTGCCCCCTGCCCTTTGAGATGGCTTGCACAATCGGTAGAGCGCAACCAGTTCCCTTCTTGTAGCAATCGCAAAATACCTCGTGGCAATTTGCGGACCGACATGAGCGCGCGCGGCCACCTGGTACCGGGCTCGCAACCGCACAAAGAAAGTCGATAAATCGCGCGAACACGCACACATACACGCATCCCCATCGCTTTATAAATTATAAATGGGTTACGTAATCGTCGCGGATCGGGATTTTTGAACGCGATGAAAAATCGATATCGCGATCTCAAAATTACAGGTGGTTACATAAGCAGCGGCGGCGGTGGTTTCGGCGGCGGTAGTTATGGCGGAGGCGGCGGATGGAAGTTCGGCGGAAGCAGCGGATGGAAGTCCGGAGGTGGCGGCGGTTACGGGGGAGGTGGCGGCGGTTACGGGGGAGGCGGCGGCGGAAAGATCATCAAAGTGATCACGCTCAGCAGCGGCGGCGATGGATGGAACTTTGGCGGTGGTGGCGGTGGATGGAAATTTGGAGGCGGCGGTGGAGGCGGTGGATACGGCGGTGGATACGGCGGTGGTAGCAGCGGATGGAAATTAGGCGGTGGCAGTGGCGGACTTGGAGGTGGATGGAAATCTGGCGGAGGCGGTGGATATGGAGGTGGATACGGCGGCAGTAGTGGAGGTGAGACATTTCTTATTTTGTATTTTCTTAAATTTTGCTACATTATAATGACAGAATTAATGAGATTACATTTGAAGAGAGAATCACTTTAGATTAATCATTTCTAGCTTGAAAAGGAAGAATTATAAGAGGAGAGGATTAGCTACTGTAAATTGACTTTCTTTTCTGAAAATTTATTACCATGCATGATCCAGCATGTATTAACATACATATACCTCAATCTTATTTAACGTATAAATTAATTTTTAAGCTTCTGGTAATATTCACAAATATTCAGAGAGAAATTTGCTCATCAATCAATTTAAAAAGAGAATGAAAATAAAATGTAGCGAACACAAATATTCATGAATATCAATTTTTAAAGAAGTAATCTGAATTTTTTAAATATTGAAATATAATTACATATGTCTTATATATATTATACATATCTCACATGTACGTAATTATATTATTTAGATCGTATTTGGATTACTTAATTAAAGCCCATTAATATCGATAATCTTTGCAATTCGCTTTAGACAGTTAAATAAATTATGCTTATCTCAGGAAAAAGAATTATCAAGAGAAGATAAGCTGCGATAAATTTTAATTCTTTTTTCCCGAGAATTTATTGCAACTTCGATCCGCGCAACTTCTTTATTTTTTCATTGCGCTGCCATGCATAGTCCAGCAAACATCAACGTACACTTTTTTTACACAAGTTTATTTATCGTATAAATTAACTTTCAGGCTGGTGGTAATGCTCACGGCGTCTACGAGCAATTGGAGCGAAATCCGTTTGCCGATCATCCGCGCGTATCTCGGCTGTAAGCATCGATCATCGTCAAAAATCAATTCGCGCCGACCCCATCCGCTCTTCGATCTTCGTCAGATCGCCATTGGAAGACGAAAAAAGCTATAACCGGGACATCACCGAAAAGTTCCGCATTTGACCGATTCACATCCGCAAGAGGAAGCGTGTCAAAACGTACACACGTACGAAATATCCTTCGCGGTATCCTTCGCTATCTCTAATACAGAGATATTTGTTGAAAAGTGAACGATATCGTCGGCTCTGCTTCCGGCCATTCGAAACTTGCCGCCGTGTCGTCTAGGGCAAACGACTTCCTTCTCGACGGCGCATTTTCTCCCTGTCTGCCCGTCCTTCTTTCGAAAATCGGCGGACGTTTCGTTTACGAGTGAATCGTGCGCCCTGATATTTCAATCCCGCTTCCTCGCATGATTTTCCGCCCTTCTCATTTCCCATTTACTTCCACCACGCTCTCTTCCGAGGATCGAGAGTGTTAGGGCGAGGCGTCCCTCTGACATTTAGCTGATTATAAATGCATAGAGCAATCCCGTGAAATCCCGACAATTATCTCGGGTATCTCGAGCACGAGCGAACAAAAGCGAAACACTGCAAAATTACACTCGATGAAAAAAAAAACGCAGTGATCATTCATGCACTTTTCTTTCAATTGTCTATAAATCGACACACCTCGTTCGATTTAACAATAACACACAATAAATGAAACATCACGTTGATAGAATAATGGAGTGTATTAATTTTTTATTTCATTATTATATCCCCCGATTAAATCCTTTTTGTCGACGAGAGATAGAAATAACTCTCCGAAAAATGTCAGGAAATATGAAACTGATTTCGCGATTTTTCTACCGATTTATGTATCCGCGGTGATCCCGCGTAACCCGGGACGAAATTAAAACCGTAAGCGTCTGGCAGACCGAACGAGAGCAGGGAAATATAATATCCGAATGGATTTACTATTGATGCTCTTACGATATTGTATGATCGCATAAATATCGCGAATATTTAGATGCGCCTTTTCCATGATTTGCACGTAATGTTTGCGATCGCAAAGAATGATGCATAAGATTTTGATTAATCACGATCGCTGTTTATTGGCAATATTTTTTCAGGTGTTTTTCTTTAAAAAATATTTTTACTATATAATTCTCGGTGCGTCACATTTATATACAATATATATATATATATATATATATATATATATATATATATATATTTATACATAGTCCTGTTTCATAATATTAAAATATCCAGAATTTTAAAATATAAATGATGACAAATGGATGTTACGTGATATTTCTATCCTTTGCATAATGACAAATGCACTGCGTAAAATTTTACTGATCTCCAAACTCGTGCCCTAATTAAAAATATTTAATTAAATACTTGCTTTAATATTTTTTTCAGGTTAATTTAATCTTATTATTTCTGCGCAATAACTTTGTGATTGTCTCCCTTGTACGTACATTTAATTTTATATTATTATGCTAATATCAGATTCATCAGATCAGAAAAAAAATTGCTTTTACTTCAAACACGGGTGTAATAAATGGGACTGGCCTAATTATGAAGCTACGTAATAAGCGCCAAGTTTAACATGTGGCGCAATGTACTTTTGCCGGGATAAGCGTTAAGAGACACGTATACACACAATAAGTTTTCATGTAGCAGTTGCGTGACTTCAATGTAATAGCCGTGCAAGCAATATCATGGTAATTACATTCTACTAGCGTGTCATAAAAGCAAGGCGCGACTCGATTTGTCGTTTAACACTGATATCAAGTTTCATCATCCTTTCGCTAATTATTCTCAACAGCAGATGATTACCGCCGTAATATATTACACGTAATATCAAATCTACTTTTAATTTTCTAGTAATTTTCATCGCAAAATTGTTATCCATGTTTACTAATTGCGCCTCGTTGCTTCTCTTAATGTGACTACGTTTTATGTTAATGACTTGAATATTCTTACTACTGAGATTAAACTATGTGTTGGCTTTTCAGTAGAAAGATTTACATGCCTCATAGCTTTTTAAATCCTTTTGCGAAAATAATCCGACTCGAGAAGAAGCATCAACGTCGATACCGGTTAATAAGGGCATATATAATAGCTTTGTATTTATTATTACATTCTTTTTGATGGGAGAGGAAAAGAGTAATATATAATATCTATTCACGTTATTACTACATTCGTTTCATTTATATTACGAGAAGATATATCATTATTATAAGACTATATGTTATAATGTTATAATTAAATTGCATACACATGTTGTGTATAATTTAAATATAAATTTATTACATATAAAATTACAGTTTAAATATATATAGATAAATGTGCCAAGAGAGATATTTTTCAATATTATCATGTCTGATTGAACAAACGAGTATTCGTCTGAATGCGATAAATTTAATTTGAATATCTTTCAATTTTTTTGCAAAGAGGATCGAATCGTGCAATTCTTCTCAGCGGTCGTTACTACTATAGTTCGAGACGTTGGAAAAAGGATCGTCGTCATTATTGATGAAGGAGCTCCAGATAATAACGATGCGCAAATTGACGACTGCAAATCCCGCTTAAGGCCATAAGCCTGTATTCGCGCGACTAGTGCGTTTCTGGTGAACTTTAATATGCGTTCTATCCTCTAGTATTTCCGTCAGTCACGGCAATTCTCCTCTCGAGGCAGCCTTCGAATAGAGCGCACTTGCCGTTAATTAGATCCTTCAGATCCGCACTTTAATTAATTATGGTGCGGCGTACGAACTTGTCTTTCGATAGGATTGCAATATAGAGTTCGCTAGCGCGAATAGCACTTGTCGATATTATTTTTATTCGCGGTCCGTGATGCAATTCATGTTCAATGCGCATTTCTCTCATTGCATATCTGCTCATGGAACAAGAAAAAGCGATCTTTCCTTTTGCTCGCATTTGCAGAATTCTCTTCCTCTTTTGTATTCACAATCTTCGCTTAAATATTTCATTTCGCTTTACGCACAGTGCTCCACTTTATTTTTTACGAGTGCTGGGTTGATTTTATCTAGAAACTTAAAACTCGGATTCGTTCTGGGAGAGTCTTTGCAACTCCATGTTTGCAAAAATATCTATGTTGTATTATACAAACAAAATTATATATATTTTTGCTATGTTTTTTAATATAAACTTTATACTAAAAAACTACTTTTTAGCGATTATTTTTATCAATTAATAATTTTAATAAGCGACGTTTTAAACATGAATGAAAAATAATCGCGTATATAAGTATTTTTAATTTGCAACCTTCGTAACAAGAGAAAAGGATGGATACGTTTATGAGATTAACGTTACGTGAAAGTGGGAAGATGCTCGTAATGATGATGTTTCCAATGACCTCCGATTCGGTCGATCATGATGACGCTTAGCAGTCGTTACATTAACGAGATGTTCGAATGTTCGCTCATTCGGCCAGTTGGCCAATTACATTTCGTGTGAAGGGTCTTCAACGTAGACGGTCGACCGGACTACATCCATGGGCCCATAAATTTATTGGACGCTGATGGCTGCGCACGTAACAATCGGCTGACGTCAAATTACACGGCAGGTAATAATCAGGCGTCAATAATGCCGGAAACAATGTGCATCGATATATCGCGCTTTTCAACAATATTTCAATGCTGAACAATTAAAAATATTTTGATAAAATTTGAAAAAAATATCTTGCTAGAGATATATTTTCTGAAACAATTTTTTAAACTATTCTTGGTAGAAATTCGACTCTTATAAGCATTATAAAAGAAAGAAGTAAATAATGGATGTAAAACATCAAAGGTAAACTTTCATAAATATATATTTCATGCAGTCTTTAAATCTGCTATTTTCAAACACGCATTTTCTTATGTTCGCTGCACTTAAAATGAAAGAAGTATACGTTCATATTACGAAACAGAAAAATAGAAGAGAAAAATAGAGCATCGAAAAGAAACGGAAACTCGATTTTCTCGCACGCAACGATACTTTGACGACAGTTTAGAACTCTATAATGTCACCGTTACCTCCTCCATACAGTGTGCGAACAGCAGCCGGCGGTCCTTGTACCGGCAGTGATACTGCCGGCAATTCTATCCCGGTTAATGGCCATCGATGACGACGAGCAATTAAATTAGCGCGGATTACGAAACGCTCGGTAGTGTGCGCGAAATGTGTGAGAGAGAGAGAGAGAGAGAGAGAGAGAGAGAGAGAGAGAGAGAAAGGCAGAAGAGGAGAGGAGAGGTTTGCGGAGGGTGGAGAGGATGTGGATATAAATTTAGAGTAGGCATGGCTAGAACGGCACGATGTTTCAAACACATCTGTGCCATGTGTGCGATCGTCTCTTGTCTCTCTTTATCTGTCGTTCTTTCTTGTCGCCTCTATTCTCCCTCTGTATTTCTCGCTCTCCCCTATTTCCTCCCTATTCTCTACACTCTCTCCTTCCCTCTCTCTCTCTCTCTTGATTCTCTCTCGCTCCTTTTCTACCATTATTCGATCTCGCTCCCTCTCTTTCTCTGTCTATCTCCATTTCACCCCTTTCGCACACACGTTTATCCCCAACCGGCGAACACTCACCGTGCCAAACCCGAATCGACCTGACGCTCTCTGTAGCCGATTACAAATCTGACCAATTAGGCGCACGCTGCGCTTGCCGGATCAGAATTGGCGAACGTTCCATGGGCGCCAATGTTGGCGCCTAAGCACTGTACGCGTTCTCTCTCTCGTTTTCTCTCTCTCTCTTGGAAGATCGCTACGTCCTGTCCCAACGACCTCCATCCGTGCACCATCGCGTCGTGTTCGCCACTCCCTCTCGCTACCCGGGAATTAATATTAAATGCGGCGCTGCGAGACCCTGACTTTGATCGGGAAACGCGACTAATTAACGTTCACTTGGTATCCCTTTCCTTACACCTCCGCAATTTTCGGCTTCGTTAAGTCACATCCTTGCCTTTCAAACAATTTTCAATTACATTTCTTCTATATTGTATTCTTCTTCCTCGTCTACAATAAAATACAAAATTAAATCAAACCAGTCGGTTTTAGCAAATTCAAAAAATAGTAATTACATCCTTTTTAAATTGTATTGTAGAAATCTTGTTACACACAAAATTCGTTCAAAGTTCGTCATAATTTACTACTTGTTATACTATTAATAAAAGTAATATATATTCCTCTACCGACAGAGAAGCTTGATTTGTCTCTCTCTCTCTCTTTGTTTTCAAATTATAGAGATGGTATGAATATTTCCTATTTTCACGCTATATTCGATATCTTGAACCGCTATTTTCAATATTTTGTCGGAGATGAGCGAGTCGTTACCCGCGCTGTTTTCCCATGGTCGGAAATTCGAGTGCACGCGCACCACAGTCCGGCTATAATTTATTATTCGGTGTTGGACCAACGTAGTCGCGATCCATACAGGCTGCTCGCGTACGTGCATGCTAGCGGTAGTTTTGCAAAAAAAAAAAGATAAAGGGAGAGAGAGAAACGGAGCGAAAAGGCGAGACCGAGCGAGACGAGCGGAACGCGAAATGAAAAAGAGGAACAGGGACAAAGGACGGGGGAAAATGCCAAAAAAGAGGAACGGCAGCGCGGCCGTGTCGATGTTTTATTGCCGGCGGATTTGTCGTATTGACCGACACTCGCGAGAGGGTGAGAAGGAAAATCGAAAACGGGAGGGGCAAGAGTGACACTCGTCTACCACCGGTCGATAAAATC